ATGAGAGCCTGCAAGAGCTGGCACAAGACTTGGAAAGCATGGCACACAAGGCCTACCCAACTGCGCCACCCGATCTCCTCAAGTTGTTGCTGAGGGAACAGTTTGTGAATGCCTTGGACAATCCATTACTGAAAATACAAGTGAAGCAAGCACACTCCTCTACTATGCAGGATGCAATGGCCAGAGCTCTTGAATTCGAATCTTACTTAAAGTCCAGCACAGAGGTACCAAGGTTGGTACAGTCATCAGGATTCAAGACCAGAAAAGGTCAACTTTCAGAGAGGTTTGAGGGACTTTGCTGGCACTGTAACAAACCTGGGCACAAGAGAGCTCAATGCTGGAAACTTAAACACAGGGAAGATGCCATGGCAGGAAAGGCTGCTACCCAGAAAGGTTGTTAGAACTGTGGAGAGCAAGGACATATGAGGAGCCAGTGTAAAAAGAATACCAACAATAAGTCAGCTTTGGGAAACCAGTAGTGGTTGGTGCTGAGGGACGCCCACCAACTCCCATTGTGAAAGTCCCAATGTCTAAGTGTAAAATGGCAAGTACACATAGTGTCTACATGACAGGAAAGCTGGATGGCCAAAGGTGCGACTTTGTCATAGATTCTGCATCTCAGCAAACCCTTCTAAGCATCAAGGAGTTTGATCATGAAGGAGTACCAGAAGCTGTACAGAAGCTCTGTGGTGTGACAGGACATTCTGCAAGGTAGTGGGGACCAGTGTGGGTAACTATCGAGCTCATGGGCATGAAGAACAGACAGAAAGTATACTTGGCCGACATTGAAGACCAATGCATATTAGGATTGGACTATCTACTACCGAGGAAGTGTGTAGTTAACTTCGATAAAATGACGTTTGGAAACAACAAAGGCCAGATTCCAGGAGTGTTGCTGCATCTGTTGATCTGCATATCACAGCACTAATGTCAACTACAATTCCCCCTATGTCAGAGAAGATAATTTGGGGTAGGATAAAAGAACATCCCCAAGGAAGCCCAATTCTTGTGGAAGCAGTGGAAGACCCATCCAGGCCAGTGGATTGAAGATTGGAAGGTCACTTATGGCAGGTCATCAAGTAGTACCTATAACAGTGCCCAATTTCTATCAAATGTGAACAGACACTTAAGGAAGGGGCATTGTTGGGTGTATGCCAGGTGGTAGAGCCAGTCAATGTTAAAGCAAGAAATATAACTGTAAAGAAAGGACATTCACTTCCAGAACATTTAACTGACCTCTACAAGAAGAGCATAATTCATTTGGCATCATCACAGGCTCTTCAGGTAAAATAACTTTTGGCAAATTATGCAGACGTCTTTTCGAAAGGAGATCATGACCTCAGCTGCACAAACCTTGTGGATCACAGAATAAACACAGGCAATC